CGCAGACAGAGCCTTCTCTGCTCCCTGCGGGCACTCGCCTCGGCCAGTGGGCCTCATCCACTCACTCTCCGTAAGACCTGTTCCCCACATTGGAGGAAGGCCCCCTCCGCAGGGTCATAGTCAACCACATGGTGGGCATGACAGCTGAGAGCTGAGCCGAGCTGGGAAGGCCGAGACTCAACGCCCCCATCTGGCTGCAAGGACAGCAGAGAGTGGGTGAAATCGACCCCAGGCAGAGGGCCCAGCGGAAGAGGCTTGCGGCTGGCTCAGGGGGAAGAGCGTGTTTCCCAAACAATCTGGGATTGAAGCAGGCTGAGTAAACTGGGCCTGCTGAAATGCCCCTCCTGGACTCAAGCCCCACCCTCAGGGTCCGCAAGGCTGACCGAGGACAGGGACACGGATGGACCAGGCACTGTCACAGAGAAGTGAGCCGGCTGTGTCACACAGGTGCCTGGGCAGATGCGTGCTAGCAGCTTCAGGCCCGGGAGGTGGAGTCTGTGAGACAGTTACATACCCCGTGGGCAGGGCAGGTGGTGTGGCACGCGGGTGCACCTGCACAGGTGTGGAGAGGAAGTGCACTGCTGTGGGACAACAGGAGTGACAGGTGAGCATGTGACAGGCACACCAGCACCACTGCTGGCCACTTCTTTGCCAAGTACAGATGTTTCAGGGCCACAGTCCCGCCAGCCCAGGGAGGCTCGGGGGGGCCCCATGTCCTCTGCAGGACAGAAAAAGGTCAACTGTGACACCCCCACCCCCAGGCTCTGGGAGGGCAGCCCAGCAGCATGCTCAGGGCCAGAGAAAAAAGATGGAAGGGGAGAAGGCACCCTGCCGCTCCAGCTCTGTCCCTCTTGGGTTCTCCAGGTTCCCCGGGACCCCACACCCTCCCTGGGCTCTGTCTCCAGGAACCAGGCACCTGGTGAGTGCCCACTGCCTCCGGATGGGCCTGCTACCCCAGGAGACACTGTCACACAGAATCCCTCCCCGGATGGCTCCGGAGGAGCTTCCCCACCTCCACCTGGGCCGCACCGACCCCTCCCATCTCCGAGCCCCACACCTCGGCCAGAGCATGCACCCCTCTCCCAGCCAGGAAACCCCCACACCCACTCAGCGTGCGCAGAGCCCCAACACCCACACACCATGCAGGGCCAGGTCCTCCAGAGCGGCCCTGGGTGGAAGGTCACCAGCAAACTCCCAGACCTGCCCTCAGATCCCAACCCACAGCCCTGCTGGAGCCCCTGCCGGTGGAGCCTCCTCCTACCCCCACAGCTGCCGCAGCCCTCACCCCTCCTGGGGAGCATCTGCTAACTAGAGGCGAGATGGGGGTTGAGGTGGGAGAAGCTGGTGGTGAGCAAAGCCCCACGTGTCAGTTAGCACCACAGACTAGCTCACTGACCCCAAGTCATTCCTTGGCCCACGTTGCTCTCCAGAATTCTGCTTCTGTGGGTTTCCATGCCCTGCCCCTCCCAGGTCCCATGAACACTGCCCCAACTGCCCACCCCTTCTAGCTCCTGCAGAGCAAGCCCACAGAAGGCACTCAAGTTCATCTGTAGCTCAGCACGCTCTCATCTTTGTTTCCTGGCCAGAGAGCAGCAGGAAACACTGACCAGGAGGGGTCAACACCATCCCCTGCTCCCTCAGGACCGTGAAGGCACCCCAAGCCCAAGACCCACTCCCAGAACCCTCAAAGAGCCCACCATCGCAGACACCCCCACCCCAGGCCTATAGTCAAATACAGGATTTGGGCCTTTTCTGTTTGTGGGCTGGCCTCCACAGGGTCTCTGAGGCTGAGAGCCCTCCAAATCACCTGGCTCTGGGGGCACCCCACTTTGTAGGAATGGGTGGGGAAAGGACACCAGGTTCTCTTGGCCTCATTCAATTAATTCAACCGCCCTCCCTTTCTCTCTCCCCCTCTTGCTCATTGTCTCTCAATATCCTTCTCAATCTCGCTCCCCACCATTCTCTCACTCGATCTGTCATACAATGTCTCTCTCTCTCTCACCATCTCTCCTGATCAATCTCTCATGCTCTCTCTCAAACATGCACTCGCTCACACACAATCTTTCTCGGTATCTCAGTGATTCTCTCTCTCTCTCTCTCACACACACACACACACACACACACACAAACACACACTCACAGCAGGGACCCAGCACTCAAAGGTCTGTGCCTCTAGGCACCCCAGCACAAAGGCACACCTGGGAGTGTACCGCCTGGGACACATCTGCACACACCCGATGTGCAGTGTGTATAGTATCTGTGCAAACCCCTATTCTTGGGTCTTTACATCCCACCTCTGGCTCCTCCATCGGGCAACTAAGGCTGCACTCAGACTTGCAAACCAATGTGGCAGTGGGGTCCTGAGTTGAGACCCCAAAGGCCAGGGCAGCATGGAGACAAGAGTGAATGGCCCGGACAGATCCCGGCCTGGAGAGCACACTGTCAAGTGAGGAGACAGACATCAGTATGACACACCAAAGTACAGCAGTGATCAAAGGCAGTTAGGTGCCAACATCCAGGGAGATATCCTAAGGGCAGGTAGCTTTGGCACCCAGGGCTGGAGGGTCATGGGCAATCTACCTGGCTCAGAGTCTGGCTCTCACAACGCTCCCTCAGCCTCAACAACCATCAGGTCAGCATAACTCCTGAAAACGGACTGGAAGATGCTGCTTTGGGAAAATGAGCTTGGAGAGCAAGGACCCCAGATTCCGGGTTTTCAGTGCCGTGTGATACCTGGAAGCCTGATGTATTCCCGTGGCTGAGAGCTCAAGGATTTAACCAGGAAGGAAAGCGGATCCAGGCAGAGCCAACAGTGTGTGCAAGGGCTCTGCGGTAAAAGGGGCAGTGGCGGTCACCAGTCCTGAGGCGACACAGAGCCCTGGAGCCCAGAGAAAAAGAGCCAAGTGCAGACAGAGACGAGGCCACTGCCCCCCAGGGCCACGCATTCCTTTGCCCTGACTTTCAACAAAGCATGGCCCAGGAACTCGGAGTGGGCTCCACAACGTGATGACTACCCCCACGCTGGATTAGGGAGACGCAGTAACCAGGCTGGAGCAGGTGTGGGTGGTGACCTCCATGGCTGAGAGGTCAGGGGTCATCTCCACAGCACACACAAAGGAAGAGAAAAGAGAACGGGTGAGTTGCAGCAAGGAGAAACCAAGGGCAAAGCAGCAGCTTTGACGTCAGAAGCAAAAAGAGAGGACAACCAGAAGAAAGCTTTGCAGTAACTGGCTAGAAAGCAAAACCACCCAGTTCAGTAGTAAGAGAAAGCCAGAAACAGCCTCCCGTTCCTGAAATGTACTCTCTTGCCCCGTTGAGATCACCGCCTCCAAGAAGCCACCCTGATCTTATCAAAGCCCCCTTCTCAGAAAACACACACTTCCCCCATCCCAGGACAACCTCTGCGTTTATACAGATACTTGGCGAACACCAAACTAGCCGTGTACTTGCTCCCCTCAGTCCGCCAGGGGGCCCCACAGCTCCAGGCCTCAGCCCAGCTGGCCCCCAACGGCTGCCGCTTCCTCTCCGATGAATCCCAAAAGGCAATCTGGGGCAACGTTCTATTCTGATTCCTACAGCCTTGCTTCCCCAGCTGTGATCCTACAAGCAAAGAGACCACATCTAACAGGGGAGGGCAAGAGCAGTGGCCAGGAGCACCTCACTGGTGACTCAGGCACAAATGAACTTAAGTCAAAATATCCCACTGATGGGTTATCATGATTAGGAGTCTCTTGCCGCAGGGGCCACCCACAGGTACAAATCCAACATAAGCCATCGCTGAGAAGTCCCAGCTTCCCAATGCTGATGTGTCTTTCAGAGAAAGAAAATTAATCTGCATTTCCCCAAACCACATTTCATTAGGTCACTGCTCTTCAGACAGGGACACAAAACCCCACATTATTCCGAAGTCTGAAAAGCAAACACATATTTTGAGATTTTAGAGGGATTTATACAAAAATAGTTAAAATACAACGTTTTTACAGCCTGAAAACTAGCTATATGATCTCCCAATAGGACATTTGTGAGTTTCTTGTAATTTGTCTAAGAAATAACAACCGTGGGCCAAGTTTTTAGAAGAAAACTATATTCTTTTAAAGAAAATGAAAATATTCTCAAAGGAAAAACTTAATTTAAGTCAAATCATACGCTTTTGTCGTGGAGCCTGATACACAGAGCGTTCCTGCAACAGGTGCTCGCCCTGCCACGCGGACAGGGCGCCCCCTCGTGGTCTCTCTTGACCGAGAGCCCTGTGGCTGGAATTTGCGTGAGAAGGTTCTTTTCCCAAGGCTGAAGGATGGCGAGCAGAGGGGGCCGGAAGGAGGGGTGGTCCCCAAGCCAGGAGCCAGGGATGGGGAGACCCAGGCGGGATGGTGGCTGAAAACACCCATCGGAATCCCGGTGACCAAATCCCACTGTGGCCAAAGGCAGGGCTCCTCGGCAGGCCCCCGCTCCCCAAGGGTGTCACTCTTCACCCCCTCCTGTGACCCCACCCGCACAGGACACCCTTCCCACCCACCAAAGGCTCTTATGAGACACGCAAACACGCGTGTCCTCCGCCAACCCCCGCCTGCCAGACCCCACCCCTGCCCCTCCAGGAGAGGTCTGAGACGGGGCCCCTTCTGAACCGGGAAACGGAGGGCCAGTGAGTGGGAGGAAGGGGGAAGGCGGCCCTGCACCCCGCGCCCCTGCATGCGGTCTGGGAACCGGCCCGAGGCCACGGGGCGCAGGGGTCCGGGAACGGAAGGCCGGCGTGGGGCGGCGGGGTCGGGGGGTCGGGGGGTGGGGGGGAGGCGGGGCAGGGCCGGGAAGGAAGGAAGCGGCCGGAGGAGGCACAGACGGTGAATAAATAGAAGCAGCTCCGCCGCGGGGCCGGCCCCTCGGACGACAGCTCGGTGGCATGTGGGGGGTGGGAGGGGAAGCGGGGCAGCCGCGCCCCCGGGACACGGAGCTGCGACACTGACCTGGTCACCCATCCCGCCCGGGCGCGCTCTCTCACACACGCACACGCACACGCACGCACACGCACGCACGCGCGGCCCCCGCGGGGCTCCCCTTCCGCGCTCAGAGCTCCGTGACGTGCACGGCAGGTGAGGGAAGGGGGCCCGGCCGGAGGCGCCTCAGGTGGCAGCGGCGGCACAGCAGGTGGCCCTCCAGGGGGTAGCAGCGGCGTCCGTCCTCCCCGCTCAGCTGCAGCCCGCAGTCCTAGGGAAGAACACAGCCCCAACCCCAGAGTCAGCGAGGGGGGCACAGGAGAGTAATGGGGTGGGGCGGATCTCTGGGGCCCCGTGCAACTTCTGAAGGACTTTGGCTTTGGGGGCGGGCGATCTGGAGCCCAGGGTCAGCCACAGCCAACCGGAGAGGCCCCTTAGACTCCCAAAGGAGGCAGTGAGGAGGGAGGTAGCCGGACACCAGCCTGAAATCTGCTGGAATCTGCGGGAGGGCTGGGCAGGCCACGGGGGCATCAGCCCAGAAATGTGATGGCTTTCAACAACAACCGATTAGGGCGCCGGGGTGGCTCAGTCAGTTGAGCCTCCGACTCTTGATTTTGGCTGAGGTCATGATCTCAGGGTGGTGAGATGGAGCCCCAAATATGGCTCCCGCTCAGCGGGGCGTCTGCTTGTCCCTCTCCCTCTGCTCCTCCCCCTGCTCACTCTTTCTCTCTGCAATAAATAAAATCTCAACAAACAACCGGTTATGTCTCCCCGGGGAGTGCAGATAACTAGAAAAGAGAAGCGGACCCACAGCTGAGCAGCAGAGGCTCCCACATGAAGCGGAAAGTAGAGGAAGACCTGAGCCAGAGGGATTTGAGGGGAAAATAAAAATTAGGAAAACCAAAAATGGATGGTCCTAAAGAAACAGTGAAGAGAGTCATGGAGGGAGGGTCGGCGTGCAGAAAGCCACCGAGAGGTCAGGACAGTGACAACTGAGAAGTGTCTCCTGGATTCTACCACACAGGGGTCACTGGTGACTGGGGGGAGGTGGGGAGGTCAGATACCTGACCCCAGCACCTTAAGAGATGGAGGAGAAAAATCGGGAGAGATCAGTAAACAAGGAGTTGTGTTTTCTGTCCCATACCTTACCATTTTACCACTGCAGTATACTTTATAGGTGAATTGTCTCTGTGTTAACAAGTGGTGAGATTCTTACTGGACCTCGGTAAATGACTGGCAGGAAGCAGGAAGGGCAGCATGGAGGGTGCGCTGTCAGGACTGGGGCAAGGCCAACTGCCCAGCTTCTTCCTTCCTCTGCCCCCCAGCCCAAGGAGACCCCTTTGGTCACACTCTCACCACATCCAGAGCTAACCTGCTTTGACATTTGTTCCCGGAAGGCCCTGAGACCAACACCTGCCCAGCTCCACACAAGTCACATTCCAGGAATGTCCCTGTCCTGCTACTGGAACCTGACCGGGCCCCGCCGCTACCCACCACGCTCCAGAGAAGGGCCGAGCAAGAAGGCCTGGAGACCCTCACTCCTGGCCAAGGGTCTCCCTGGGGACGGCAGCCCCAAGGCTCTGGCTGTGCATCACCTGAAGCTCACCTTGTACGTTGGCTCTCAGCATCAACCTTCCCTGTGCTTACCGGTCGTCCCCAGGAAGCAGACAGGATGCTCTGTTACGTCAGAGGGGACACTGTGGCCCTTCTGTAGGCCATGCGGGCTTCTGTTCCTCCTTCCCTGATCCCCCAGCAGGATCCCAGTTCCCACTGGGCCACCTGCCCCACCTGAGGCCACCTGGTTCCAAGCAGACCCTTGACTGCTACTGAAGATTTCTCATGGACACCGCTTTTCACTGGGGCCCTAAACCCAACGTGCTTTTCTCGGTTTCTCTCCTACCTCTGTTCACTCATTCCTAGCGCCCCCATATGGCTGCTTTGCCTCCATGCACCCCCTAAACACTGGTGTTCCTTGGGCTATCCTGAGCCCCCGCTCCTGCCCCCACAGCTCTCTCTGGAAGACTTCATTCACTCCCCTGGCTTCACCTACATGTTCATGATGAGACTCAGGTGTCCAGCCATGACAGTAACAAGGACTGAATCTCCCATCCTACCTTTAACAATGAAAAACCAGGTAAAAGATATGAAACACTGATTCTCAGACCCCAGACGACAGACAAGGCAGGTCAGTGATCTCTGAGAGAAGGGAGATTCGTGAGGTGAGCCCTACAACTGCCCCAACTTACTACCTGAAGAGATTGTCCAGGCTGCCCAAAGAGAGCCCACTGGTCTCCTTGCATTGAGAATCCGGGGAGGCCAAGGCAATGAGAAGCCACAGGGCAGAGTATCAAGAGAGGAGAGAGCTGTGTGTGCCCACGACTCCCAAATTCCTACACTTGCAGCCAGTCTTTGAACTCCAGCACATCTAGCTGCCCCAAGGGCAGAGTCTTTTGAGACAGCACGTCTAGCTGCCCCAAGGACATCTCCACCCAGAAGTCCCCAGTGTCCCAAATGAGAGCCTCTCTTCCTTCCACCTCTCGCCCTCGCTCTTTCCCGGAGCCCTAATGGACACCTCCTAATCCCCAAACTGCCCCATCCAGTCATGGCCCAAGTCCAGTCCCTTTTAACTACCTGACCACCACACAACTCAGTGTTCTACCCTGAACCCAAGACCACAACCTTGACGCCACCAGCCTCCTCAGGAAACCCGAGCCCCACGCCCTCTTCCTCTATTCATTCTCTGCATGGCAAAGAGCACCCTTTCCAAAATGCTCATGCCATCGTGTCATCCTTCTCGATCATTCTCCACCATCCTCAGGATAAGTCCACATGCCTCAGCTGGTATATAGCCTTATGTCCCCAGCTCCTGCCAACTTCTCGTGACTCAAAACAACACAGTCACCTTTGCACCTAAGCACATTCTGCTTCCACTGCCTAGAAATGCCTTTCTTACGGCCTCCTTGGGTAACTCACTCATTTTGCAAATCTTAGCTTGGGTGTCACTGTCTCCAGAAAGCCTTCCCTGATTCTCCAAGGCCTCCTATGTACTCTGACAAGTCACCTTGATAGCAATACCGACCCTGTACAGATACTGTGCGAGCACTCATCGCTGCCGTAACAGTGGGGACTCCTTATTTTTATTCTCTGTATATCCCCAGCACCCCCACACACTGTAAATCCTCAGTAAATAGGTGACTGAATGGGAAACAGGGGCTGAGAACATATCTTGGGGAGAAGGGAGAGGGCTCCCTGGGGAGGGCAGGGCGAATGGGGCAGAATCATAAAGGAGGAGGCGGGCCCACAGAACACAGAGAAAAGGAGCTCCCGGTGGAGGGGGGCTGCCCCAGCCACCAGCACTCCTGGGGGGCCCCAGGCTCACCTCACAGTGGTAACACTCCACGTGGTAGTCTCTGTCCATGGACACCACACGGATGGTGGTCTCACAGCCCTGGAGGACGAGATGGGGTTTGCACACAATCAGCACACTAGGGGTTGAGGTGCACACACCTACACAACACGGTCTTGTCACGGCAGACGTGCATTCACGCCCACTTTGCTGCTTCCATGGGCAGGGCACATGCCTGGACATCCTCCTGCAGCTACGCCTCATGTCAGCACGCACACGCATCCGCGAGAGCGGTCACGTGGGTGTCACTGTGTGTACACATGTTCTTTTCCATTCTTTGCAGTCAGGAAAGACCATGGCCAGGCCTGCTTCCCCAGGCACGCCGGCTTGGGACAGAACCAGCACGTGCGGGAGACATGATGCCGAGAGAGCCGCCCCACCCAAGGATATCTCCTGCCTGGACTGCATCCTTCCCTCGCCTGCTCCCCCCACCACCTCAGCCTGCACCGCTAACAGACCCTGGGAGCGATCCTTCTGTCCATGGGCAGTGAAGCTGAGGGCCAACGTTTCTAACTCATGCAGGGATGCATGGGCACTTATGGGCCTGAGGGATATGGGACAGGAGCATCTGCTCATCCCTCCCAAGACCTGGGGCCAACCTGAGCAGAACCAGGCCAAGGCCGGGCTGGGCCAGGCACCCGATCATCTCCCAGTGAGTGGTTCCTACCTGTGCAGGGAGGATAGGACGGGCACAGGAGGCACATTTTGGTGCAAAAACCCTGGAAGAATAAAGGAAACCAGAAGTGACCAGCTGAGTGGCCAGAGGCCAAGGGCAGCAAGGCAGACCCACCCACGGTAGCCCCCTGACATGGCCCAAGCATCAGGACCCCTTTCCTTGTGTGGACACCCTGGGCTGGGCGCCACCTCTGTGGTGCCTTCTTGGCCTTTTATCTGGCTCGCCAACTCACATCCACCCCATCACCTCCTCCAGGATGGCTTCAGGTTCTCCCTCCCCTCTCCCTCACACTCCCTGTGAGTTCCCTATCCCCTAATGTCCAGGTTTGGGCCTCCCCTTGCTGAGACCCCTACAAAGCCTGGCTGCACATTGAGTTCCAGGGATCTGTGTGGGGCTCCCACCCCATGCAAGGCTGTAGCACAGGACCAGGGCTCAGAGGGCCAGGCCTGGAGACCCAGCAGGCGAGAACGACTGGCTGCTCATCACAGGGACACCAGACAGGCAGGGAAAGGATGGCCGCAGAGACTCCAAGCCCCCACCCCAGGCGGAAGAGGCCTAGCCTGCCACTGGGAGCAGAGGGGCAGATGCGGGTGGGGCAGCCTGGTGAGTCCCCCGAGCCCCACTAGGAGGGGGAACATGCAGGCAAAGGCAAGGAGAGTAAAGAGACAGCTGCTGGCTGAATCACGCAAGAGAGGGCTTAAGGCAGAGATCCATGCCTTGCCGCAGCCACTGAGTGTACCAGGGGAGGCTGGAAGTGGCAAGGCCAAGAATGGAGAGAAGACAGGCCCGTTGGAAAACTGCTTCCAGAGGAGGCAGGAGACATGGCGGGAGTCCCACCTGCCCCCCCGCCCCCACACTGGCTACTCACGTGTGATAGTCTCTGACGCAATAGATGTTGTTCTCCAGGTCCACGGTGAAGGGCACCCCGTCCAGGCACTCGTTGCACACTGAGCACCGGAAACAGCCTGGGTGGTAGGACTTCCCAAGGGCCTGCAGGATCTGGGGGTGGGAGGCACTGAAGGGTCAGTGCAGATGGAAGGCTCAGCACAGCCCCCGGAAGAGGCTCTGGCTCTGAGCCCTTGGCAGGTCTGCAACAGGTGAAAGGGTGGGTCCTAAGACCACCCGTGGCAGGGGGGCTCCAGGAGGCTGGGGGAGGTTCTCACCATCTCCATGATGAGGTGTCCACACACGCTACACTTGTCAGCTGTTTGCTGGAACCCGGAGTACTGAGAGGGGACAGAGGGTCCGGAAGGTCATGTGACAAAGGGGCCCTGGCTGCCCAGCCGGCACCTGCCTCCTGGCCCCGGGCCTCCACGTGAAGCAGGAGGGTCACCTCCCCTGCTCCCACCCATGGCGCCGGCCGGGCACCCGCTCTGACTCACCAGGAAGTCCTCCTGGCAGTAGACTTTCTCACCCACGTTGTAGAACGCCTTCCCTCGAAGCCGTCTGCCTACAAGGACGGGGATGGAGAAGGGGGTCCGTGGGCCCCTGGAACCCGGGGATGGGGCCCCGTTTCCATTTCTCAGGACTCGCCTCCAACAGATGAGAAGCAGATCATGGGCAAATTTTAACATTTCCCTTTAATATTAGGTTATTACTGTGCTAATAATAATTTTTTTTTTAATTAAAAAGAACACGGGGTGCCTGGGTGGCTCAGTCGGTTAAGGGTCTGCCTTCCGCTCAGGTCGTGACCCCAGGGTCCTGGGATCGAGCCCCACATCGGGCTCCCTGCTCAGCGGGGAGCCTGCTTCTCCCTCTGCCTCTTACCCCTACTCATGCTTACTTTCTCTGGTGCTCTCTCTCTCTCTCTCTCAAGTAAATAAATAAAATCTTAGAAGAAAAACCCTACTAGAACTAATAAATGAGTTTATCAGGGTTCTAGGATAGGTGGTCAGAAGGTGAAAACCAAATATCTTTGTATATTGCAATAACAAATGATGGGAAAATGAACTTGCAATTTTTAAAACTGCATTCCTAACAGCATCCCAAAAACCCTGCAAAATACTGAGGGATAAATTTAATAAAAGACATGTGTGACCCTCACCCTGCCAAACCAGACTTGGCTGAGAGAAATTTCAAAAGACCTCCGTAAAGAGAGCGCTATACCACCGCTGAAGACGGCTCTCTGCTGGGACTCTCACATTTCTGCCCATCTTACCGAGGACCGGCAGCGTTCATTCTGAATTACCTCCCCGAGGACATCTGTGAAACACGTTGCTTAGAAGACAAAGCTAGCTTATCTCCCTCTGAAGTAGAAAGCAGGTTTTGTCTGCTGTCCATTATAATACAGATAATGTGTTCCTCAGAAACAAGGGACAGAGAGCTTTGCTGACTGCCCATTATAAAACATCAGGGTTCCCTAGCCTTGACATAGACCTACTACATGTGCAGCATCCACCTGGGCCCCTCTGCATCACCCCTGCGGGACTCGAGGGCATGCAGAATGATTCAGAGGTGAAGCTCATCCTGTCTGCAGGGCTATAAGCCTCTGCCCCAGGGGGCTCGTGTCTTCAGTCAGCATCAGCGAAACAGTGGCAGATAAACATGTCAGCTTACAAGTAGGGAGAAAAATCTCAGTCCTTGACAATCATCTTCATGGCTTCAAACATCCTGATATCAATTCTCCCCAAATTGATCTAGACTTCAATGCCACGCAATTAAGATCCCAGCATTCTTACTTTTTTGTGGAAACTGACATGCCAATTCTAATTTGTTTTTTCTTCTTTCAAAGCCTTGTGTTGAGGGCTGACTTCCAATTCTAAAATTCATATAAAAATACAAAGAACCTAGAATAGCCAAATAATCTTGCAAAAGATCAACAATGCTTGGAGAGTTACACTACCTATCTGAAGACTTCAAATAATCAAGACTGTGTAACATTGGGGTAAGGAAAGACAGAAAGAGAGTGCAAAAATGGCCCATAAATATTTCAATAAACACACAAGTGGGAAAGCAAAGTCTTTTCAGCACATGGTGCTGTGACAAGTGGAGAAAAAAAAAGAAATACGAAACAAAAATGAAACTCAATTCCTCACCTCACACTATACACAAAAGTATATAATGAGGGGCACCTGGATGGCTCAGCCGGTCATGCGTCTGACTTTGGCTCAGGTCATGATCTCGGGGTCCTGAGAATGAGCCCCATGTCGGGCTCCCTGCTCAGCAGGGAGTCTGCTTGTCCCTCTCCCTCTGCCGCATCCCCCCTCCCAGCTTGTGCTCTCTCTCTCACACTCTTGTGCTTAAATGAATAAAATCTTTAAAAAAAAAAGTATAATATGAAGTGGGTTATCAACCTAAACATAAAAATGAGAAACCTAAGAGGCACCTGGCTGGCTCAGTCAGTGGAGCATGTGACTTTTGATCTCCGGGTTGTGAGTTCAAGCCCCACATTGGGTATAGAGATTACTAAAAAATAAATAAACTTAAAAATATAGAGACAGATATAGATATCATTAAATATATATTTAAATTATCTATAAGAAAATAGGGGTGGGATGCCTGGGTGGCTCAGTCAGTTAAGCGTCTGCCTTTGGCTCAGGTCATGATCCCAGGGTCCTGGGATCGAGCCCTGCATCGGGCTCCCTGCTCAGTGGGAAGCCTGCTTCTCCCTCTCCCACTCCGCCTGCTTGTGTTCCCTCTCTTGCTGTCTCTGTCAAATAAATAAAATCTGAAAGAAAAAGAAAGAAAGAAAGAAGAAAAGAAAGAAAGAAAGAAAAAAAGAAAAAGAAAGGAAGAAAAGGAAAGAAAGAGAAAGAAAGAAAGAAAGAAAGAAAGAAAGAAAGAAAGAAAAGAAAAGAAAAAGAAAGAAAGAGAGAGAAAAAGAAGAAAATTGGGGTGCCTGGGTGGCTCAGTTGTGTCTGACTCTTAATCTCAGCTCAGGTCTTGATCTCAGGGTCATGATTTCAAGCCCCACACTGGGCTCCATGCTGGGCTTGGAGCCCACTTAAAAAAAAAAAGTACTATGAGAAAATATTCACAAAACATACATCTGAAAAGGACTTGTACTCAGAATATATATATTCTTACAACTAAATAATAAAAGACTTAAAGTAACTCTCAGTTCAAAAGCTGAGCCAAAGACCTGAACAGACTTCATAAAAGAAGATACAAAGGGCCAAGAAGCAGACAAAAAGCAGCTCAACCTTATTAGTCATCAGGGAAATGCAAATTAAAACCACAAGATACCACTTCACATCCATTAGAATGGCTAAAATTAAAAAGACGAAAATGCCAATTGTTGGCAAACATGTAGAATAATACATCCCTAACATTTCTAGTGGGAGTATGAAAATGGCACAACCCCTTTGGAAAAGTATGGCACTCTCTTATGAAGTTAAACATACACTTAGCCTATGACCCAGAAATTCCACTCCTTGGAATTTACCCAAGAGAGAAATGAAAACATTTGTCCACAAATGACCTGTACGAGAATGTTCACAGCACAATCTATCAGTATGTGAATCTACCACAACTTGTGGTAGATTCATACAATAAAATCATACTCAGCAATAAAAAGCAGTGAGCTACTAATAATATGTGGATTAGGGGTGCCTAGCTGGCGACTCTTGATCTTGGGGCTAAGTTTGAGGCCCACGTTAGGTGTAGAGATTACTTAAAAATAAAATCTGTAGGGGCGCCTGGGTGGCTCAGTTGGTTAAGCGACTGCCTTCGGCTCAGGTCATGATCCTGGAGTCCCGGGATCGAGTCCCACATCGGGCTCCCTGCTCGGCGGGGAGTCTGCTTCTCCCTCTGACCCTCTTCCCTCTCGTGCTCTCTGGCTCTCATTCTCTCTCAAATAAATGGATAAAATCTTTAAAATAAAATAAAATAAAATAAAATAAAATCTGTAGGAGTGCCTGGGTGGCTCAGTCATTAAGCGTCTGCCTTCGGCTCAGGTCATGATCCCAGGGTCCTGGGATCGAGCCCTGCATCGGGCTCCCTGCTTGGCGGGGAGCCTGCTTCTCCCTCTTTCACTCCCCCTACTTGTGCTCTCTCTCTCTGTGTCAAATAAAGAAATAAAATTTTTAAAAATAAGTAAATAAAATCATTTAAAAAACACAGGGACTTAAAAAAAATAACATTTAGCAAAAAAAAAAAAAAATTCAGCCACAAAATAGTATATAATCTACGACTTCATTTATGTGAAGTTCTAGGAGAGACAAAACTAATCTATGGTGGTAGAAATCAGAACATTGATTGAGCAGGTGTGATGGGAAATACTGGGCATCAACTAAAAAAGGGCAAGATTAGAGTTCCTAGGGTGTTAAAATTTTTCTGTATCCTTGTTAGGGTTGTGAGATACATAAACATATACATGTATCCAACGTCTTTGAACTACATACTTAAGATCTGTTTGCTATACCATCTGTAAACTGAACTCAGTTACACACACACACAAAGATAAACTTGAAACATTATGTGCCACAGTAAAGAAGTGCTGGAAGATTGATGGAGACTTGCCAAAATACTCATAAGAAAAAAACAATTTTGCCCCCTATTCAAGTTTAAAACTTTTCTTACTAAAGTTTGAAAATACGCCCTGGGGAAATCCCCCTCTACACAGACCTCACCCAATTCCCACAGACAGACCTCCACAATCAAAAATGATGAAAACATGTGAAGAAACAACGTATCATGGCCAAGAGTGAGGAGAAACAATAAACAATTGAAGCAGGACTTCAAAGACATTAGATATTAGGATTATTGGATACAGAATACGAGTATTTAATATGCTTACAAAATAAAAACAGATGTCCAAAACCTGAGACTACAAAGACTTCTTGGACAGGACGTTAAAACCGATAACTGAAAACAAAGATAAATTGGACTTCACTAAGAATTTCTCTTCATCAGAAGACATCATTAAGAAGGTAATGAAGCAAGAATAGGTTAGGAAAAGAATTTACAACACATATATCCAACACAGAACTCCTATAAATCAGTAAAAGTCAAACAACCCAATTTAGAAATGGGCAAAAGACTTCAACAGTCATTTTACAAACAAAGGCATTCAAATGGCCAACAGACATAAAAAGGTATATGAGTCTCCACTACTCATCAGAGAAATTCCCATTAAAATCTCATTAATAGGGGCGCCTGGGTGGCTCAGTGGTTAAGTGTCTGCCTTCGACTCAGGTCATGATCCCGGGGTCCTGGGACTGAGCCCCACATCGGGCTCCCTGCTCAGCGGGAAGCCTGCTTCTCCCTCTCTCCCACACCCCCTGCTTGTGTTCGTTCCCTCTCTCTGCGTGTCTCTCTCTGTCAGATGAATAAATAAAATCTTAAAAAAAAAAATCTCATTAATATACTACGCCACCCCCACTAGAATGGCTGAATACTGACAATGTTGCATGCTGGCGGGAATGAGGAAAAACTGGAATTCTAATACATTGCCAATGGGATAATAAACTGCTTCGTCTACTATGGTTAAGTGCTTAGCAGCATATATTAGAGTGACTCCAGGACCCAGAAACTCCACTGCTAGAAAAGTAAGTATAGGAGCACCTGGATGGCTCGGTATGTAGAGCATGCGACTCGATCTCAGGGTTGTGAGTTCGAGTCCCATGTTGGGTGTAGAGATTACTTAAAAATAAAATCTTAGGGGAGCCTGGGTGGCTCAGTCGTTAAGCGTCTGCCTTTGGCTCAGGTCATGATCTCAGGGTCCTGGGATCGAGCCCCACATCAGGCTCCCTGCTCAGCGGGAAGCCTGCTTCTCCCTCCCCCACTCCCCCCTGCTTGTGTTCCCTCTCTCACTGTCTCTGTCAAAATAATAAAAAATCTTAAAAAAAAATAAAATCTAAAAAAAAAAGAAAAATAAGTATAAAGATCTGTCAATGGACATAGACACAATACAACAGTTTTATTTATAATCACCAAATTATGGTGATCATCAGTACAGCTTAAAAGTCATGTACTGATGACTGGAAGGGGCATAAGGCAATCTTCTGGGATGATGGAAATGTTCTGTACCTTGATCTGAATGGTGATTACATGGGCACATAGGTACAAATGTATCAGGCTGTAATACACTCAAGATTAGTATGTTTTACACTCTTCATGTATTTTCAATCTTGATAAAAAGCAAGACACTATCAAAAATGTTGAGGCAGATTTGAAAAAAGGACCAAAGAGAACTTCTAGAAAAAAAAATCCAATCAATGAAATGAAAAACTCAATGAAAGAGTTCAATAGGAGATTAAACACAGCTGAAGAGAAAAAAAAATGATCTGGATCCTGGCTTCTGGAAGACAGATCTGAGGAAATTAAACAGAATGGGAGACAGAGAAATGGATAATATGAGAGGAAGAGATTAAGAGACACAATAGAGGGGTGCCTGGGTGGCTCAGTTGGTTAAGTCAGGTCATGATCCCAGGGTCCTGGGATAGAGTCCCACATCTGGCTCTGAGCAGGGAGCCTGCTTCTCCCTTTCCCTCTGCCCAACCCCCCCCCCTTATTCTCTCTCTTTCAAATAAATAAATACAATCTTTAAAAAAAAAAAGACACAAAAGAATGAGAAAGTCTAATACTCCTAACTTGAATTCTAGAAATAAATAACAGAATGGGAGAGAAGCAACTTTTGAAAATTAAATAGCTGAGATCTTCCCCAAACTGATAAAAGACCTGAATCTTCAGAGGCACCTGGGTCCAGGATCAGTCATTTAAGTCTCTGCCTTCAGCTCAGGTCATGATCCCAGGATCTTGGGATCAAACCCCGCATTGGGCTCCCTGCTCAGCGGGGAGTCTGCTTCTCCCTCTCCCTCCCCCTGTTCTTGCTCTCTCTCTCAAATACACAAATGAAATCTTAAAAAAAAAAAAAAAAAAGAGTCCCATGCTCTATCGACTAAGCCAGCCAGGCATGCCTACATTAATGAATTTTTTAATGTGAATCCACCCTAGGATTCTTCAAATAAACTCAACTTGGACATAATGTATTATCTTGATTAAACACTGGTGAATTCAGTTCCAGAGGAAAAAAGACGGGAATAAAATAAATAGTACCAAAAAAAAAAAAAAAAAAAAATCCCAGAACTGAGGAGGCAAATCTCCAGTCCAAGAGGGCTCTGTGTGTGCCCAGCACACCCACAATGGCTAAAAGCCTACACTAAACATAAATAAGATATCCTAAGTCAGGCTACTGCTGTATTGTACGACGTCAGAAGCACCACTGTGTTATATCTACGTAAATGGCGCCACCGTGTGCAGAATACAGCCATTTCCAGAGGCCATCATAGCCAGGATTTGTGCAACATGACAGTCCTCCTCCCAAGAGCTCCCCAAAGGAAAACGTGGATCACACACACACAAACGCGAATCAGGATGGCATCAGAATGTAGCTGCAACAGTGGCTGCTGGAAGATGAAACCATGACTTCAAAATGCTGAGGGAGAGGTGCCTGGCTGGCTTAGTCCTCGGGGAGTAGGACTCTTAATCTCAGGGTTGTAGGCTCAAGCCCCGTGTTGGATGTGGAGATTACTTAAAAATAAAATCTCTAAAAAAATAAAAGGTTGAGAGAAAATTGTTTCAAATTTGGAAATCTGTTTCAAATCTAGTACAAGGGTAAAGGCATTTCAGCCATAGCAGAATTCAGAACACTGACCTCCCACGTGCCCTTTCTTAGAGAACGATAGCAAAATCTTGTAGGCAGTGCTTCACAGCTTTGATTCCTTCCTTCTCCTCCAAGTTGTTCAGTATCCAACCTTACCTCAGCCAACCTAGCTCATTCAAGGGAAACCTGAATCCACTCCCATTATCCATGGATGGGCTTCACTAGTATAAAGATAACTCCTCTTCCCTTATTACGGTATTATTCAGAGACTCAGGCAAGTCAGTCAATCATAGGCCTCCCCACCACTCAAGAAACTGGTTCAGGAATGGATGTGTGAGATGCTCTGGCCAATGACATACAAAAAGATATTTGCTAGGCGCTTTCTGGGAAAGGAGTTTCTAAAAACATAACTAGAAGAGATGCCCCCTCTTCCTCCAGACTAGTGGGGTATCATAGAAGTCTCAGACATTTCACCACCATAAGAGAAGTTGCCCTAAGGAAAAAGCCAAACCCAAGGGAAACCCAGCCAAGCTACTCCTAGGGCCTGAGGCACTAGATCAATCCCAACCTGAAGCCAGCCCTATCTCTGGGCTCCCAGTTCACTGAGCCAAAAAATATTTTCCAAGTTTAAGCCTCCTCAGCAGCTTCTCTGTCATCCCCAGCAAAAAGCCTCCAGGAAATAGTGGATTCAACTCAGGGAGTATACACAGGAAGACACAGAATGGGCACTCCACAGGGGTCCAGAGGACAACCAACTCAGACTGAGTCTTCCAATGGAAATTCGGTAGGATGCCTTATATAATGGAGCCTGGGGTGGGGGGTGGGAGTGAAGATATGATGAAACAAGCCAATACAAGGGGAAAAAAGGTTAAAAAAAGAAAAAAAAAACTCCAGGAAAAGTAAAAGACTATAAGGGGGAAAAAGGGGGGGGGATGTAATCACAGTATAATTCTTGGCTCTGCAGTGAATTTTTAAATAGTCAAAGTAACATAAACCTGGTTGACTGACTTAACTGCAATTTATGATGGGAGTACACTGAGAAAACAGAAGAAAGAGAAACGGGTAGTGTAAAAACCTGTTCCTCATCTGTCATAGCAAAAGTAAGGCTAAAAGTGACACATCCCTGCTTGCGCTAAAAATAAATAAATAAATAAATAAAATCTTAAAATTAAAGAAAAAAGAGCAACGTATGTTCGTTACAGATAGGAAGGTGTCTACTAGATTCTAGAAATTGCTAAAAAAATACCAAGCGGTTGCCGCTGGGTCATGGGACCAGTAGTGGAAAGATGAGCGGTTTTTTGCTATTGCAAAAATAGCTTCTTGGGGGGCGCCTGGGTGGCTCAGTCGGTTAAGCGACTGCCTTCAGCTCAGGTCATGATCCCAGGGTCCTGGGATCAAGCCCCACATCGGGCTCCCTGCTCCGCGGGAAGCCTGCTTCTCCCTCTCCCACTCCCCCTGCTTGTGTTCCCTCTCACGCTGTCTCTCTCTCTCTCTCTGTGTCAATTAAATAAACAAATAAATAAAATCTTTAAAAAAAATAAAAATAGCTTCTCGGGACTACCTGACTTAACACTGTGCACGAATTACACTTCTATAAAATAAAATATTAAAATGCTTAGTGTAAATAAATGAAAGACATTTGCTTGGGGACCAAGCCTGAAGGAATGGTAGTAGAATTAAGAGTGTAGATTTATTAGGTTGGTTGGGTAACAGCTACTTTTTTTCTTTTTACAACTTTGTCTACTTACATTATAACATTTATAGTTTATACTGTGTGTCAAATTGGGAGAAAACGTACATTGCAGGGAAAAGAAGTATCAGCCCCACACCCAGGCAACCAGGAGACATCAGCAGCCTGCACAGGAGGGAGGCCCCAACGCCGAGGGCCCCAGGGGCAGACTTTCCCTGTGGCCAGGAACCTCTCCTCCCTGGTTCCACACCTCCCTCCCCAGGGCCCAGCAGATCTCCCAGGGGTCTGGGTCTCTGGAACAGTCCAGGCCCGGAAGGAAAGGGGCTACAACTCAGCTTCCTCCACACTCCACCCGGGCCAGAGCTGGGTGGTCCTCCATCTGCTTCGGACTTAGGTGCAAGGGGGTCCGTGGTGCAAGGGGGCCAAGGAAGAGGTTACCTACCACAGGAGTCGCAGGTGAAGCAATCTGTGTGATACAGGCTCCCCATTGCCTGGCACGCCTGCCTTGCTCCGTAGATGCCAAGCCCACACTGGATGCAGATGCCTAAGGGAAGAGAGGCAGGAGAGAGCCAAGGTTAGCACCAGAACTGCCCTGATGCTGCCTGACCTTGGGCGAATGAACTTCCCAAGGCCTCCACCGCTCAGTTACTAATGGCTGACGTGGGAACAATACAGGTATCCTGGGTTTTGTGCTCGTGGTTGTTTGAGGACTCAGAGGTAAGGAGAGTACCCAGCACAGAGTCAGGGCTCACCAACACCATCCTTGCCAGCAAAATTTTAATGACACGCGGGGAGTCTGGGTGGCTCAGTTGGTTAAGTGTCTGACTCTTGGTTTCGGCTCAGGTTGTGATCTCAGGATGGTGAGATCGAGCCCCACGGTGGGTTCCGTGCTCAGTGCAGAGTCTGCTTGAGATTCTCCCTCTCCCTCTGCCCCTCTCCCTGCTCCCATGTGCTCGTGCGCATGCTCTCTCTCTCCCTCAATAATCTTTTCTTTTTAAAGATTTTATTTATTTATTTGAAAGCAAGAGAGAACAAGCAGGGGGAGCAGCAGAGGGAGAGGGAGAAGCAGGCTCTCCGCTGAGCAAGGAGCCTGATGCGGGGCTCGATCCCAGGACCCCGGGGTCATGACCTGAGCCAAAGGCAGACGCTTAACCGACTAAGCCACCCAGGCGCCCCTATGAATGACATGTTAATACTAGAAAGTCATTCTGAGCCCCTTCACCAGTGACCTGTTCTTGGGTTGACACAAAATCCTTTCCGCTGTCCCTGAGCCAGAAAGAATAAAGAGCACACAGGCATAACCAGAGCAGGGTCACTGAGCTCCCCCAGCCCTGCTTTCCTCATCTGGAGCAGAAGGTGAATCTATTCTTTTGTTTAACCAGCACGTCGGTCGACATTGCTGGGCTACCACATACCCCACGGTTTAGGTGCTGGAGATTCTGCCATGCACCAAGGGTCCCCAGCCTCGAGGAGCCTCTGCGCCCGTGGAGGCGGACAGATGACAACAGGTAAATAAGTGCTATGGAGGAAAATAGGGCTGACTAAGTATCTACCTGAGTGTGTGAGTTTTAAATAGGATGATGGAGAAGACCCCGGTGACAGGGTGACAGGGTGACATTTGAGCTACGGCCTAGAAGAAATCAGGGAGGAAGGTGCCATGCAAGCATCAGGGATTCCTGGATGGAATTGAGGACCACCCCTAGCAGCACAGTGCCCAGCAGGCCGGGAAGGGGAGGTAAGGAAAAGGATGACCAGCAATGCCAGGGACCCAGACGTGGGCCGCCAGCCCGGAAGTCCCCTTCAGTTACCCAGGGTCTCCCACACCCCCCAGGGCATGAAGATGGGCTTCTAGACCTTAAGTCTGCTGCCTGCTCCAGGACATGCTGCCCTCACCATCTCTCTCTCCTGCTTTCTCCCAGATCTCTCTCGTTAGCATTTAACCATGGCTGAGCCTGTCGCCTATCACCACTGCCCCAAGTCAAGAAAGTTCAGTCCACACTCAGCCATCTCCTGACTGTGCAGACCTCCAGGCTTTCCGTCCTGACCCTGCTCTAGAGGCGGACCGTCTCCTCCTTTTTCCTCTCCAGGATCTGACCCACACCTAGCTTTCTGGTTCTTCTCCTGTCCCAGCCCTAGTGGGAGCTCCCTGCACTGTCCTGGGCCTCCCGTCCCTCGGCCTCCCCAGGGGAGGGAGGGCCAGCTCGGATGTCCTCAAAACCAGGCAGGCACGCCAAGGCGGCTGAGGGGGACCCAGGTGAATGGAGAACAGAGCCTTGGCTGTGGATGGCTACTGGGTGGGAACGCAGGCCCAGAGTTGCTAAGGGGTCAAAATTTTCCAAAGAAGCTAGAAATCTAGATTTGTATGTGAAATCTTTCCGCCCTGAATTACTAACTTACATGTTTTGAAAATGCAGACGCCAAACACACCAGGCCCGCAGGTCTCCACACGCGGCTGTACCCGGGCTGCTTAGGGTCCCACCCACGGCTCAACGCCTCACCCCCTGCCAAGGGCTCCTGGCGCTCTGCCCCAGCCCAGACCTCTCCCCTGAGTCACGGATCCACCTCCCAGCAGGCCCCAGACCACTGCAGATCCGGAACAGAGCTCTGGAGGTCCCACAAAACTGCTCTTGCCTCCGGGTTCCGGCTCGGGAAACAGCACTTGCATGTAGCTGGGTTTCAGGAAGCATCTAGGTCTACCCTCTCTTTGTCACCTCCAACGCTGAATTTCAGCTCCTCTGTTCCCTGATTGCCACTTCATTCCCTTCCCCTCACTTCCACTGGCCTGATTCAACGTCACCAACTCTCATCCCAAAGGCCATTGCAAGGGCGTCCTCAACGCCCGGCCCCCAACGGTCCATCCTGCAAACTGCTGCTAGACTCATCTTTCTAAAGTGAAAATGACCAACCGCCTCCCCCTTACCCTTGTCCATCAACTCCGAACACCTGACCTTGTCACTTTCCTAAGTTACCAGAGCCCGCGGTGAAGAGTGAAAGTCAGTTGCCCCGTGGGAAGCAGCACGGGAGGCGGGACAGGAGGGGAGGCTGTGACTCTGTAGGATTCATTTTTGCTTCTGTTTGCTTTTTTTTTTTCTAAATACGTGCTTGCATCACTTTAATAAAAAGACAGCAAAGAAAGAGAACCAGGAGCACGGAGGCCACACAAAATTCAGGGAGTACAGCATTTCGGAGAGAGTGGACTCCACCTGTGGGATGTGACAGTGAGAGGCCAAGGCCTGGCAAACACCGGCTGGGCTCGGGCGTCACCAGGGTCCTGCTCAAGAGTCGGCTCAGTCCCGTGAGGGGAGACAGACAGCTGAGGGGAGACTGCAGGCAGGAAGGGTGAGCAAGCAGCGAGCCTTTGTGGCCATACAAGAGTGGGTTTGCTTCTTCCTCGCCTTGTTTCTTTTCTTTTCTTTTTAATGGAAGACCCTTTGTATATCCTTATAACCAAAGAAAAAGGGCCAGTGGAAAGAGGAAAGTCGAAGGTGGAGGAGTTGGGGGGTTGGAGGTGAAATGACTGTGGTCCTCAGCTCTGGACGTGGACTTGACACCCAGAGGGTAACAGGCAGCCTGCAACTGCGGACCTCAACTTTCTCAGCAAAGTCGAAAGCAAGCGCAGGAGCCAGAGGGACAGGAAGATTGTTGAGGGAATAAAAGAGGGAACGGACCAAGGCTTAGGGCGACGGATGGTGCCCAGAAGATCACAGGGGGTCAAGACCATCACCCCACCCCCCACCCCCAGTATAGCAGCAAAAAAGGGTGCTGGGGCACTGATTCGGAGTCAGGGGTCTGCAGGGCAGAGGGGATTCGAGGAACCAGTGAGACCGGGTGGCAGTCAAAACTGAAGACCGCCTGAGGAAGGAAAAACAGGGTGTGGCCCTGGGAGGAGATGGCTCCAGAGAAGGGAGGGAGGTGACCAAAGTCAGAGTTCTGGGGGGAAAAAAAAAAAAAGGTTCCGGAAGCCCGAGGCTGTTGGCTGGCTAAGGGCGGTGGAACTTGGTGAGGAGACATGGGAACGTTCCAAAGATGTCAATGAACGGAGAGAGGGGCCAGGAGGTCAGCAAGTGTCAGGGCCAAGGAGAACGGGGGATGGCACAGAGAGGAAGAAACACACGGAGGCTGTGGAATATCAGACAGCCCTTTCGAGCTCATGCTACCTGCCCACTTCCTTTTGCAGAACCATGCATTATTCGAGTTGAATTGAATGAAACTGCCCCTTTTTAGAGCTCCCAAAACTCAATTATCAGCACTAAGTTATCAGCAATTCAAGCAGAATAGTTGCCCATATTTTTACAAATTAGGAAAATGTTACCTAGATCTGGTTTCCCTTGGAAAAAAGAAGACCTACCATCCCTCGCCTCCCACTCATCGGTGGCTCCCTTGGGCCCCTTTAGAAAGGATGACCCACCAGCTTCAGCCCTTCAGTCTCCCACTACCCGCTTGGGTCTGGCCAGCTCAGCTTCACACAAAGAGCCATGAGAAGCTGCGGAGGCTCACAGAACCCACCCCACCCTGGGCCCTGCAGTGCAGGGAGACAGGACACAAGCAGTATCGCCTGGAGAGAGCACAGGAGTCGTTTTCTTAAGAAGACCACCGCAGCTTCGGCTCCTGGAAGCTGCCCAGCAGGAGAGGAAACAGCTTCCTGACCCATCTCTGTGCTCCCAGGCCACCCGACGGGCAGCCGCAAGACCTAACAAACCACACATTCTCACCCCAACTCTCCAGATGGGCCTGAAACCCTTCCGGGCGAGCCCCCTCCCAAAGGCAGACCGACCCTGCGGCCCAGACACTCCCTTGAACACCTGAGCCCTCCCAGGCTGTCACCCTGGGCGCAGAGTGGAACAATGCACATCCTTACTCGCCTCCCTTGGCCCACATTCTTTCTCCTGCCCGGAATGCCCCCACCTAGTCTGTCACATACAGCCTCCTCCTCCCTCAAGATCCAGTCCAGGGCGGTCCTGAGCTGCTGGCTGGAATGAATGCATGATACAAACCCCTGGACAGCCTCGGTCCTGCTGGGCATGATAAGCACTCCCACCCCCGCCCGCTCAAAGCCAGGTGCCTCCGCCTTCCTCCTTATTTATCCGTAAGGGAGGGAGGGACCGCAGTTAAGAGTCCTACGAGTTATCCAAAGAACTTTAGGGATGGGGAGGCCAGGGTCTGACCGGGAAACAGAGGATGTCAGAGACTGTTGCGCTTTGTAACTGCTGCGAAGCAGCACTCCCTTTGGAAACAGCCCATATACGCAGCACAGCCCAGAGCGAGGACAGCCCAGTGTGACCGGCTTGGTCCCCTTACACCTCAGGGTGGGCTTCCCCTCCCTCACACACTCTGCCTCCGGTCACTGCCATTACCCAAGCTTCGGGTCAGGAGGGTCCCGTGGCACCTGGCCCAGTCCACCTCCCTGCTCCTGTCCACTCCCCACACTGCTGGGAGTTACGGGCACACCAGCACGGCGGGGTCCTACACTGCCGATCACAAAGCGCAATGCAGGATGAGCAGAGGCAAACGCTAAGGACGAAGAAGAAATGATCCGAAAACGGCTAATTCCGCCTACCGACAGGGCTTGTTCCTCAACTGAAGAGCAGTGAGCGCACCAACTCATTTGGCCAGAACCCCTTCCTCGGCCGGAGACTCACAGGCGAAGTCGCCGCTCTAAATAAACCTCGGACCCTGCGGCTCTCACTCACCCCCCCACCCCGCCCAGCCCCACCGAGACACGCTTTTCTCCGCGCGGCCCACCCCGACGGCGGCGGGGGGCTCGGGCCGGGCGCGGAGGGCGGCGCGGCCGGGCTCGCTCACCGAAGTAGTCCCGCGCCGTGCGCGCCTCCAGCGCCCGCTCCAGCTCGCGGGTCAGCGCCTCCAGCCGCCGCTCCGCCGCGCTCGGGCCGCCCTCTCGGCCCGCGGGCAGCTGCAGCGAAGGCAGAGGGAAGGGGGCCGGCCCCGCAGGCTCCGGGGAGCGAGTGGGCGCGAGACCCGCGCCGGACAGGAGCAGGTCGGCGTAGGCGCCGGCCGAGCCGCGGGAGCCGAGACTGGACACGCTGGAGCGGGCGCTGCCCACCGACGGCGGCCCGGGGCCGGGGCGCGGGTCCGAGCGGCCGGAGCGCGGGCTGCCGTGGCGCTGGTCGTAGCCCAGGCTGATGCCGCTGGAGCGGGCGCTGCCGCAGCCGCCGCCGTCGGAGCCCGCCAGGCTGGCCCGCGGGCTGCCCGCAGGCTGCGCGCTGAGCTCGGGGGCCGCCGCGCGTCGCGGGCCTCGCTCCCCACGGCTCAGTCCGTCCGGCCCGGCCTCGGGGCCGCCGCCGCCGCCGCCGCCCTTCCCTCTGCGGCCCAGCGCCTGCGCCGCCTCGTCTCCTGGCCCGGGCCGCGGCCCCCGCCGACCCCGGCCTGGAGAGTCGCCGCCCGCCTCCAGCTCCCGCAGGGCCAGCCCGGCCAGGAGCAGGGCCGCCTCGTCCGCGGCCGCCCGGGAGCGCTGCATGGCCCGGCCCGCCGGCCCCGGCGCGTCACCTCCGCCTCCGCTTCCCGCCGCCGCTCCGGCCGCGCCGCCGCATCGTCCGCCCCAAGCCCGGAGCCCGCCCCGGGACCCCTGGGCGCGGGGCGGGGC